TGGTCGAAAAATGAACCTACATTACTGGAACGTTGGCGAAAGCTAATTTTACGCAACGAAACAACGTTTTGTTAATAAATACGTCAAGAACAAGATGGCGGCGTATATTTACGGTTGACGTTGGAAAATGTCGATTTGATCGACCCTAGTGGGAACTCTTATGTAATTTCGCTTCCAGTTAAGGTATTTAGAATAGTTGGACGTATCGAGCTGCTTAATTTTTAACTGCAAAGCTGAATGCCTCTTAAATCGCCAGATACATTCCTTCACAATATTGTCGAATCCTCGGTCTATGCGACTTCTCAGGACTGTGGGGCCGAATGATCAGCGGAAGGAGGCCAACCTACAGGACTGTACTCAGGGCTACTCCGGCCCCTGATCAATCACTGCGAACAAACAGAAACGAAATCTCCAGTTCTACTACGACTGCTGCATCTTTTCGTTGTTTCGAAGATTTATCATGACACAAAAAAGAGGCCCCCAAGGAAAAACTCAAAACGCAGTTTAGAGGAAGCGAATCGTTACCGATAACAAAAACGCATTGCCGACAGTATAACGGGATTCACACTTCAAGTTTGAGTATTGAGTCGGGCAGACAATTTAATATCAACCGAAAATCTGTATTGGTCCGACTAGCAGTTGGGAGAGGTCGGCGAGGTTTGAAAAACTAGTGTCTCATGTGGGATTGCCGTCGGGCCACCCATCCACAAAGGTCCGTACAAGAACGCCGTTTCCGAAGTTGTAGTGGAAGCCGAGTGTCAGCTAGAACAAGACATAACGTCGGATGTTGTTGAGTTAATTGGCACTAGGGGTTGGCGTTTAGGCATGTCGACCTCTTTCTCCGGTTACTAGGCAAGCGTTTGTTTTACAGACCACGCTTTGCAAGTAAACATGATTTGAATATATAATGAGATGACGTCATTTATCTCTCTAAATGTTCAACGTTATGCCGGGCCGCTGTGTACTGTAACAACTTCGCTTCTTTTTAGAGGACGAATACGGACCCAAAACTTTATAGTTTTAGGTTTTAATACTGCAAGGCTACTAAGTGACTCAATGATGTGTGTTTTGTTGTAAAAATCAGTCAATCTGATGCTTTAAATGTCCAAAATTAGCGCAACGTTACAAATGTTTTGTGTTTTGGCGTTTTCAGGCAGAAGAAATCTGACGCCATAGAGGTCAGTCAAGTGAGTTGTGCGTCGTCAGAAATTGACCTACTTTCATGGAATTCACACACATTGATAACGTATTGGCACATAATAAAACCTCGCAATGAAAAATAAAAGGCTTTTAAATTCCTTTTCTATGGGTGAAATAACAAAAATGTAAATTGATGTAATTGTAAACAAATATCGGATCCATGTTCTAACACTCCCGAGGCATTGACGGGACTGATGCTGCCTTGATTTTTCAGCTTTCTTTTTTACAAAACCCCTACGGTTTTTATACAAAACTTATTTTTATTCAAAATAACACCCCTGTGTTTACTTAGTAATCACGTGACTAATTCGTGGTACATGCCGCAGATAATTTTTTTTAAAAAGCCAGGAACAAGGGCTTCAAGAAAATATATAATTTGCTAAGCTTCAAAACACTTTTCTCCATGAAAACAGTTTTTACTTTTTAGAGCATGATAACTCTACCGTATCCTTAAACTAGTGCTAATATGAAGCTTATCCAGAGTTAGCGGGACCAGCGCAATATAAACGTGACCTTGATAATGGGATTCTGTTTTTCCGGAGTATGAACAATTATGTGAATATGGTGTTGTGCGTTATAGGAAGTAGGTGATGTCTTAAGTCTTTTGGTTATGTCATTTGAATCAAGAGGGGGAGGTTAAAGTACGTGATCGGAAAGAATTATTAAATTTGTTCTTTGGCAGTGAATGGCTTATTTGTACGTGACTGTGACCCACCCACTTCTCGATTGTAATTTGGCCAGTTGCTATTAGACATCACTAGCATGACTAGCTGGAAGACAACCATGTAAAAATAGTGTGAATAAAATAATCGTCTGTAATGAACAAAGAAATAATAAAGTTTTGTTGGTTTAAATAAAAAATAAATGCGCTGGTCCCGCTAACTCTGTATAAGCTTCATATTATTTTAATGACCTGAACTTTGTCTTAACAGCGCAAATTATACCCAAATAAGCGTCTTTGGTTGATTTCTGGCACCCAAAATTGATTCTCGTCTCGGTCCTAATTACGCGTTTAGGAATGACCTGGTGATCCAAAATTGACCTCTCATGAAAATACTGCCGCCTACAGCGGGTCCCGGGATCATTGCGTCCATCAATAATACCACCTTCAGTTATAAGGTAGTTACAAATGTATGTGTTGCATGGAAGTGTTCTGTTAGGGAAGATACTTTATAGTAATTATGTACTCTCATTACTTCAGTTTTTTATTTAATAAACAAAATAGGTTATATAGAAATCTTACATGAATTCGATGAGCAATTTTGTGCCTATTCTTATGGCTATATAAACGGAACCAATAAAGTTTAAACTAGTACTATGATATGACTAATTTTAACTGGGTGTAAATTTCAATGATTTAGCATTTCGGACGTATTCATTCAGGGTTAAAATCCACATTTTTTTCATTCAGACAAGGTGTTCTAATTCTTAATTTGACATATTCACCAGACTTTAATTTAACACATTTCCCAGTCAGTGAAATACGCTAAATTAAGACTCAGTAAATAATAAATCCATTTACAGTATTAGGAAATGTATCTAGCAATAATACCCCCACCCCAGTTATAATGTGATAACATATGTATGTGTTATAAGAAAGTGAAGTGCACTCACCACTTTATTCACTTCTCATCACTTCATATTTTTCTGTAATAAACAAATACAAAATAGGGTTAATTAGAAATAAAAAAATTCATTCTGTGATGTTCAAGTGAACAAGTAGAAATATATTCAAAATAAAATATACATAGTATAGTACTATTATTCTTGTATCTTTTTCATTAATGCAGAGACATCTTCTAAAGGATGTTTATTTATTAACGATCATCTATATTATACATCGCAAAGTAATATATATAATAAAGTACATGTAGTATTTTGTATGCTGTCAATAAAAAGAGGTAACACGAACACTTGTGACAAATACGTTAACAGATTTCATTTCAAGACCGCACTGGTAAGCGTTGAAGAAAAGTAACTGATTATAAAATAGCATTACAGTGATTAAAATTCCAGTTTTAAAATGTTCAAATACTATAGTATCTCAACTGAAACACAAACACATCGACGCCATTTTGAACTCTGAAAACTCGTGCCTTGTCCGATGCCAGGAAAACTAACACACCCCATATCAAAATCAGTATGTATGTGAATTCTTGTCTAGTTATTTTGGAAATTCAGTTCATAAGTAATAGTGATTATTGAACAAATTATTAGATGTTGTTTACATATTTATACATTATTATGCAAAGTTCAAGTTGTTTGTATTTTACCAAAAGGGTCAAATATTGAAATTGTACTTACCATCAATTATCCTAAATTTAGTGATTATATGATGTATTAAATTAATTTTGATTATGGAAAGCTACAAAATCGCCTTCTAACTTGACTAGCTTAAGACATGTTATTGTTACACTTATACATTTTCCACACACTCACAGCATATTAAATTTAGTTTTTACCCAAGTTCATTGACTATTTATTGTCATTTGTTATCTTTGTATATTGCGTGTTTTGCTCAATAGATTCTAAGACTGGAAACAAGCAAACCAATCCAACAACTGTAACAAGTCGTACAAAACTGAGTTCCACTCAACCAAAAACCACTGTACCGACCACTGAATCAAGCTTCATTGAACCAAGCTCCACTGAACCGAGTACAACTGAATCGAGTACTACTGAATCAAGCACCACTGAAGAGAGAACTACTGAGAGAGAACAGCCATCGACGAGAGATGTTCCAATAAGAAACACAGGGACTCAAATTCTACGTAGATATATTACTCCTGTTACTATAACACCACTAGTTGAAATAACAACAGTTTCGTCAACAACGCAAAACATACTCGCATCTACAATGGAGCCCCCGCCATACCTTCAAGGTAATATAACGTTTATGCTAACGTTTGTTTCATTAAAAGTATATCATCAGAATGATAAATTTTGCTGTTCTGTTGGGTTGATCAATCTATCTATTGATTACATAGATAAGTATATCTACAATTCATCAAGTGTATAAAATAATAAGAAACTTAAGGATAATAGACCATTTTCCGTTCACTGCGAGAATCACGCGTTGTGCGTGAAATCGAACGTAAAAACAGGACAAACAAAGGTCATAGCGTCGTAGTCGCGTCAAACATCGCGTGGGATTCGACAAACGCGAAAGTATTTCGGGCACATTTCCATGCTTAATAATGTGCTGTCCACATTTGATGATAGGCAATTTCGATTAAGTAAGGGT